TTTTTTTTTATTTACGGTATTTTCTTATTTTGATATTTTAAGCTCTTTTGTGTTTAAAACAATATATATATTAATTTTTAAAGTATCAAATTTAATTTTTGTTCAATAAAAATCTTTCAAATGCGACTGTAGCTTTTTTCCCCAAAAACTTTGTCTTCAAAATAAGGATGCGTCTTATATTCCGAAAAATACGGTAATTTAGTTTTGCAATGTTTGTGCTGCTATCTATCTGCAAATAAATAAGTCTTTGTAGCTGTGTTCCATTCACGTGAATAGAATGTCATACAACCTGTAACTGTATATTATCCTTGATACCACATATTGTATTTTAAGAAACTTAAAATTCATTTAATGTCGTAGATACTTTGGGTTAGAAGTTTGTCAAGCAATGCTGCTTGAGGATATTCCATTGTCTTCCTACAGCTTATCCCCAATCCCTCAGCGGTACGTCTGAAAGCTTATAACGCTAAAAACTGGGTTTCGAAACTCGTGGTGGACACAGCACAGATAGCTCATTGTGTAGTTTTGTGCTTAATAACAAACTAAAAAATCTGTGGTGTGTTAATTAGTATGAGTCAGTCATAAATATTCGAAAATCAAAGTATCATATTCACTTCGAAAGTTTGAGGGCTTATAATGCTAAAATTCGGGTTTCTATACCATTGAGATGGGAGAGTGGTGGAACATAAATAATCAATAGTGTAACTTTATGCTTAACAACAAACAAATGTATGTTAGTGTCGTTGGAAGGAATTATCATGTTTTGTACATACATTCTTTATATTATACTCAATGAATCTTTGATAATGTTCAATTCCACAAACGTTTGAAATATTTACCTTCAAGAATTTTATCATGTGACAATTGAAAACTGATACATTATATTTAAACTTGATGATTTCTTGTGTTGTTCACATTCACAAACATATTGACATGTTTACAGTCCAAATGAATATTTATTAACACTTGGAAAACACTCAAGGTGTGGATAGGACATGATGAAGATGTTATGATTGGGTACATTTTTACTTCACTCTAAGATTTAGGTCGAAGTGTTGAGTTTCAAATCAAAACAAAAAATGTGGTCGATTAGGGGGTGGAATCTCTCCAAGGATGTGAGTCTCTCTTTATCCGCTCATGAGAGAATGCTGACACAAGTATAGGAAGTTTTTTTACAGTTGTAAATATTTCTTGGTATTGTGCGGCACGGCAGGAGACAAGAAAAAGCGAAAGAGGGAAATGATGCTATGGATTTGATTGTAACTTGGAGACCATTTTAAAGGCTATGGAGATAAGGCAACTTCGGTTTGGTTTATTCTGTTGATAGATGGTGTTTTCTTCAACGTATTCTTCTTAGCTGGAGTAAATTGGTTATTTAACGCATGTTTTGTTGGTACAAATGATGAAACATGGGTATTACTTTACTTACATGATATCCCTACCTTGGGGTTATAGGTACACTTAGGGAATATTACTTTAGAAGTAACCCATTCTGTAAGTGATATCTTTACGGATTTGCACACTTAGGGGATATCACTTTAGAAGTCACCCATTAGGATTAGTACACTTAGGGGATATAACTTTAGAAGTAACCCATTAGGTAAGTGATATCTTTACGGATTTGCACACTTAGGGGATATCACTTTAAAAGTCACCCATTAGGATTTGCACACTTAGGGGATATAACTTTAGAAGTAACCCATTAGGTAAGTGGTATCTTTACGTATTTACAACGCTAAAATCCGGGGTTTGATCTTCCATGGTGAACGAGTGCAGATAACTTAATGTGTAGCTTTGCGCTAAAGCAAACAAACCACTCCCACTTCTTGAAAGTTCGATAACATTTAGATCGTAATAATAACTTTTTTATTGTTGTTGTTTGTTTCTTGTTGAGAAGAATATTTGTCACCCAGAACGACTAAATAAAGAAGGAAAGGTTAGAATTTGATTTTTAGAGTAATTTTTGGCTTATTTACAAAATTTATCTTTAAGATATTGAATTTTATTTTGTATTTAATCAATACTTTGCCACTTAAATGTTTTATAAGCTATAATAGCGTTGTTGTTTTTCAGTTCATTATAAACGAACGAGTTTCTTTATGTTGTAATAGGTAGTGTGTGTATTTTACACCTGACAAATGTTGTAACAGGTAGTGTGTGTATTTTACATCTGAAAAATGTTGTAACAGGTAGTGTGTGTATTTTACATCTGACAAATATTGTAATAGGTAGTGTGTGTATTTTACATCTGAAAAATGTTGTAACAGGTAGTGTGTGTATTTTACATTTGAAAAATATTTTAATAGGTAGTGTGTGTGTATTTTACATCTCAAAATTGTTTTAAGCTTCAGAAACACACTAATTCTGCTCAAAGTCTTTAGTTTGGGGTGTTATTTTGTAGTCTGTCCGGTCAAGGAACCTAGCTACTGTTTCATGGGGTTGTTACGTCTCCGTTCGTTAGT